CCCCCCGCCCCCGACAACGCATCCTGGCCGAGTATGCCGCTCCCCAGCGCCGTGCCCTGCCCGCCGGGGGGGCAAACTGACTGCAGCTCCGCTAGCTCCTTCGCGCACAACACAAGCATGTGGCCGGCCAGCGGCGCCCCCTGCCCCTGGCTGTGACCCCCAGGCCGGGGCAGTGCTTGTTAACACCCAGCGTTCCCCCTTCCCCCAAGGGCTCAGGGCAGGTGAGTCCCATGGGGCTGTACCCCCAATGCCCACGCTCCCCAAGCCTGGTACCTCACCCGCACTGCAGCTGCACGGGTCCATGGCCTAAGACCTTCCTTGGGCCCATCCTCCACCAGGGGTCACAGCTTGGAGGGACGCCCGCCAGCTGCCAGCCTGCCCCCAGTCATACCCATGGGCTGCCCCACATCCTCTGGTGCCCTCGGTGGGCCTAGCTGTGCCTGTCCTGGGGTGGGGGGGAGACACGAGTTGCCCCAGCTAAGCTGGTCCCCCCTACTCCACCCATTGCAGCACCGGGGAGGTGGGAGGAGCAGCCTGCTAGGAGGGCACCTGAGCTCTGCTGCCCCACATCACTGCCCCACCTGGCCATATGGCACCACAGCCCTCACTCAAGGGGGCAGCAAGCCATCCTGAGTTACAGCATTAAAGTGGGGTGGCCAAGGTGGGCATAGCCGTGATCTGAAACTACAGCTCCCAGCAGGCGTGGCACCACCCCCTGAGCAGTGCGCCCTGGGAGCTGTAGTCTCCACAGGACACCTGAGAAGCCTACAGCTCCCAGCAGGCATGGCACCACCCTGAGCAGTGCACCCTGGGAGCTGTAGTCTCCACAGGACACCTGAGAAGCCTACAGCTCCCAGCAGGCATGGCACCACCCTGAGCAGTGCACCCTGGGAGCTGTAGTCTCCACAGGACACCTGAGAAGCCTACAGCTCCCAGCAGGCATGGCACCACCCCAAGCAGTGCACCCTGGGAGCTGTAGTCTCCCTGTGGCACACTGGCCCATAGACCAGGGGGCCACCCAGCCTGAGCAGGGCCTGGTGGGGCTGGCCCCTGTACTACCAGGGTCTGCTGGTTGAGCTGTGGCCAAGGGAGGGCAGGCGTGTTGGTTGGCACCACAGGCTCACGGATGGTGCCTTCAGGCTCAGCCCAGCTCTGCCGGCAGGCGAGGCTGGCGCCCCACACCATTCAACACGCCCGGATGTATACGCTACACAGACCCTTGGCCTGCCCCCTTGGGCCCGGCTGTACCCACGGGCCCGGCTGTACCCACAGGGGGTGCCCAGCACAGCCTCTGCCCATGTCCTGGTCTCCTGGCCTCGTCCCCACCTCATGCTTGTCCCTCCCAGGGGGATTGCTCAGTGCTGCAGCCAGGGGTCTCCAGGATCTGCCCCTCTCTGGGGAGGCGGGCTCTACCCCTGGCCTGCCTCTCCCGCTCCTTCTGGTGCACAAGGGGCCCCGCGGAGCCCTTTTTCGGGCCCCTGCTCTGCTGCCACCCTCCAACCAGGGGCTCCCCAGCCAGCCCCCCACTCCAAAGCCCCTGGGCAAGGCTGGCCAGGAGCCGGCCCCAGAGCCTATGCTGCTGTCTGCTGTGGCCGCCGCCCAGGGGCTCACCCCACAGCACTGCTTTGTGATAGACTAGGCCTGCCCGGCCGGTGTACGTCTCTTTCCAGTCCTCGCTGCACATGGCAGGCTCGCGGTCGCCCGTCTCTAAGTGCCTTTCTCTGTAGTGTACGTCCCGCCCCCTGCCCACTGCTGTAGCCTAGTGTTTAACGAAAGCAACAAAGCCGGATGCTCCCGACTGCCCTCGGCCTCCACAGGAGAGGCCGGTTCATAAGAAACCAATAAAGTGAATTGATGAGTTGCCCTGGCTGTGTCAGCCTGTGATTGCCTCTCGGGGCACCGCCTAGCACCGGCTCAGCCTCCCGCGGCACCTGCGATGGGCGCTGCCCAGGCTGGGAACGGGGAATGGCTGGCAGCAGGCAGGGCTCTGGCATGGGCCTGCGATGAGCCGGGTTTGAGCCCACAGCTGCCTGGACCTCTTAGCCAAGTGGCTGCCCGCAGTGCCTGTCTGCCTCGGTGCCTTGCTGACCCCCCAGCTCCTGGCTCCAGCCTGCAAGTGCTTTGAAGTGGGGGGGCCAGGACGCTGCAGTGCCCCCGCATTGGGAGCTGCTGAGCTCTGGGACAAGTCCCCCCCTACCCCCCGCCCATGGACCAGAAGGGACCCTGGGCAAGCAGCCAGGTCAGCCTTAGGGCTTGGGATGGAC